ATCAGTAAGATTTTTCATTTACTTTATTTAAGAAGACAATTTTCCCTACAAGTAATGCAATATTTTTTCAAAGAAATGGATAAAGGAGTGTCTTTCTGAAATTTCTGGACAGTGAATAAAATAAAAACAGGATTGTGGGAAATATAATTGGAATATATATGGGAAGCATGTGGAGAAACAGGATGTTTAAACAATATATGAAGGTAGCGAACAGTATGCAAGCTCAATTAAAGTAAATTAAAGTCATCAAATTATAAAAAATAAGATCAGAGCAATTAAACACGGACCTCCAATACATCAGAAGTGGAGGAGTGAGCATCCCTTACCTATCGGCTACACCCGCCGTGTGCTTTTAGTCGGATGTCCTTATTACTTCTATTAAATTATTCAGGATAAGAAATCTTATTTTTACAAAGAGGTGATGGAAAACATCATTCCGAAATTCAATTTGTACAAATATTATAAGTTGTGGAATGGAATAAATATCAACCTCATGAAAAATTTTAAAGCGTACGTTTTAGACAAATGTTTTTGAGTCCTGGATAATGTTCCAATGTACAAAGCCCTAAAAAGATTGAAGTTGCTGGAGACTCACTACAATTTATCAATCCACATTTTCATTTTGGTGGAAAACCATTTTACGATAAACAAATGATGTTCGACACATGCGACAGTGGCATTTAACAAGTTAATGAAATCAAAAGTGTGGATGATTTTTTACCTTCATGAGTTTTTTTGCAATACCTATCCAAATATCAAGATTATTTTAAGAATTTAATAACATTATTCATGCTATAAAGGCTTGTATGAAAAATTCTTGTCAGGAAAAAAAATTAAAACCTAAGTAATCCGTAATGAAATGCAAATATTGCTATTATGAAATACTAGTAATGGATCCAAGCAAAATTCTTCTGTTGCAACAGGTAACAAACATTGGAGTGAGTTTTTAAAAAGTTGGTCCTCAGGAATGGGGAAAAAATCACATAACACCAGGCAGGTAGCAAAAGACAATTCTATACAACAAAGTCATTCATATTTGAAATCTAAAAACTCTTTGTTCTGCATACTGAGGAGGAGACAATAAAACACCTTTTATGGGAATGTAATGATACATGAAATTTTCTAGAAGAATTTGTTCGTTTGCTTGAAGAAAGGATATTAATACATAATTATATAATATTGTATGTTGTGTGAATTAAAAAACAGCAACAAATAAACAAGACACATACAGAAATGAACAGTGTATAAATCGTTCCTTCTAATACTAATATTTTGCATCCTTTTAAACTAGACATAAACAAAACGAGGAGACCACATTATTAGTAAATACATCTCTTTAACGTTTTAAAGAAATTAGAATTCCTGTGGATCTCTTGATTTTTTATGGGGGATAGGCATTGGCTTTTTTTTTTAATTTAAAAATACGTTTTAAAAAATTTCCAGTAAAATGGCGATAACAAATAAACGTTTCTCTTAAACTTTCACCTTTTTAATCTTACTGTAAGTAAGACATCCAATCAATGGGTAATTAGGTATTCAATATATGAAATTTTACTAATGTGGATCAAGCAAAGTGTCAAGCTGTTATTGGAAAGATTTTTACAGTTCATAACAAGGTCATGGAAACTGAAATTTTCAGGGGTTGTATTTTTCGACCGTCATTTTATTTCCCCTGTTATTCTTTCCCATTTTGCTTTGAGTCATCATTTCCTTCTCCTCCATTCTTTGGAAGTGGTTCAGCATGTTTGACCGAGTCTATGTCGACATACAATATCTTGTCTTCGGCTCCGTGCAAGACGGTATTTCCGTTTGAAGGCTTGTCATTAAAATCAATTTCAATGTAAACCATTCCATCTTTGTTTGCGTTCTGAAACACAAATTTCGTTTCTGACAAAAAAGTAGATAAATTTTATATTATCAAATATGTAATACTTCGAAATCTTTAGCTATAGTAATAGAGTTTTGTTGGTTTATATCATCGTAATTGTGATTGATTGATGACTTTTTAAAAACCTTACAGATGTTTGAACAAGCAATAGATTTAAAACACGGAATTCATAAAATTCGGATCAGTGGAAATTTCAGTAGCTGGGATCATGTGGTAAGGAGAAGTAATCATCTCTGTTTAGTTTGACCAGAGGGAAGAATCCATAGTCATATCAAATACAGGTTATTAACAATAGCCTTAATAGCTACAATACAATATAGTTACAATAAAATTATTCTAATCACAATTATTCCTGGTCCAATAATTCCCCCTTATCTAGAAATATACCTCTTTTGTAACCCCAAATGGCATTAATGTATGTTTTTGGTGCTTTCAGACATGTAAAATGTAAATATAAGGAATGTTTCAAAGTTTGGTGTGAGTGATTGGTGTGTGAATCACACAAGACTTGCACGTAGGCATATTTTTCATGAAGCGCTATCGTGACAAGTCTGAGTGATCCACGCACCATGAACTCACACAAAACTTAAAAACATTCCTTAAATAGTTTCCAGATATATATTTAAGTTCATTAATACCTGACAAAATGGATTAGCTAGGATTAACAATAGTACACAAATATGTTGTGACCAATGTGTACTTTGTAATTATTTATTTTCTGGAGAGCATTTTAATTAATACTTACTTGTCCAGGGTTATTTTCTCCCTTCTCATCAGGTTTCTTTTCCGTTTTTTGGTTGTCTGTGAAAATAATAATGATTGAATTTGTAATTTGAACTTATATTTGATAAACTGTCAGCCTGATCATTCATTTTTAAATTATATACTGTAAAACGAGAAAAGATGGCGCACACGTATTTTAGCGCAAACGCAAGTGGGAATGCATTGGCGCAAATAAATTTTAGCGCTTGCACTTGTCAGTAAAATATATAAATGTGATATTTTGGTGTTTTTTAATCCACACCCGTATTTGACTTTTTGGTTAGTCAAGCACGGAAACACATTAGTACTCCCGTATTTCAGTAAGCATTCGTTACCTTTACCGCGGTACGTGTTGCTATCACATGGACGTGTTATAATGTTTAAATCTATTTTAAAATCTATTTTCAATTAAAAGAAATGTAGTATTTACTCATTTAAATCACATTAAAACAATGCATGCATCGACAGAAACTTACTTAGATAAAACGATAATCCTAATCAGTATTGTCTGCAAGCTCAATCGCCATGCTTGATTGCATTGTTTACCTCGAGGCGATAGATGATTGACACGCCAAGAAGCCAAACTTTGAAGGTGCTAATGATAACAATCGGGTAACAACTACCAGGGTAACAATAGTTTAATTACATTATAATATGGCAGAGTTTTCTGTCTTCCGAACATGTGCAGTGCTTATTTGTATATAAAATCCAATGACCCTTCGACATTACGTAATCGCGCTTTCCGGTTTACATGCACTTATGTGAAAGCTTTGAACACACACAAAAATGATATTCAGAAATCCTTTAGCGCACAATAAATTTTAGCGCTCAGGAGCTCTTGCGCCAAAGGCGCTAAAATTAGTAGTGCGCCAAATATTCTCGTTTTGCAGTATTTTATATTTACCACCTTAACATAAAATTCGGATCAAAACCCAAGATAATACTGTCAGAGAAGGAACTCATATTGTTATTCATAATTTCGCATATATTACAATTTATTACAGCCTTTTCAGTGTATTTTAGTGTTTTTAAAAAGGGATTTAAAAAGTTTAGCTTTTAAATATGTCCATTGCTCTTTCGATACTTACCCTTTCCTTTTTGTGAGGTACGAACTTCAGCGTAGGCGGGAATTTGATTTCCATTTTTGTTTTCCTTGTTGACAACGGCGTAAACGTCTGTGGCGGTAGTGTTGTTATCTGAAGGGGCCGAAGGTGGCATTTCATGCACCTCGTCGGTAGTAATATAGAGAACATTCTCCGTCAGTTCTAACGCAGGGTCTGTGAAAATAGGTTACATACAACAAGTAAGAACGAAATGAGAATCTTTTCTTAAAGCTTGTTGATAAAATAATTTCTCATTATAAGAAGGATTTTTAAAATTCTGATTGGTCATATGCAAAAGTCTTTTTTATATAAAGAACCACCAAACATCGTTCATTTCCTGCAAAGAGAATCATAATTTGTATTTGTTGAATTCAAATGTAATCGAGTAATCATAATATGTAATATAATAAGAGACAAATACCTTTCTTTTGGGTAGTATCATTTTTTCTGAAAAGCAAAAATATTCTGCAAGATCTCAGGTATGATTTTTAAAACTGGCAGAAATAAATGTTAAAAAGCAGTTACTGTAGTTGCAAGTAATTTCCCGAAGTTTGCAAATATTTGATTATCATGGACAAAGTAATACTATAGTACTTACATAGAAGTTTTACCTATAAAAAGAATAATTTCTTCCAGTGCATTTGCTTCATAAAATTCATTTAAAATATATCATATTCTTATGTAATAAATAAATCATTATGGATTTCCAAGGAATTTTTGTTCCCTATTTTTCTCAGTACTATTATTATATTTATCTAACATTTTTTAAATTAGGTACAGAATTTTAATACCAAATACAAATGTACATTCTCCAACCGAAAAAAAACAGGTAAACATTAATGTTATTTTTACAATTTGTTCATCAAAAGAGTTTGAATTGGGAGAAAAAAAGAATTCTCTCTCATTGAATTTAATTATTTTAATTTAATCTTATTAGTATCTACGGAAGCCCCTTTATAGGGAAGCCCATTTAGGACCTATCAACAAATATTTTTGAATTCGTTATAACAATTTTTAGAATTCATTATAACGAATTTAATTTGTTATAACAGATTCACTGAATTCGTTATAACGAATTTAATCTGTTATTACAGATTTGTTGAATTCGTTATGACCAAATTCTTGAATTGGTTATAACGAATTCAACAAATCTGTAATAACAGATTTAATTCGTTATAACGAATTCAATAAATCTGTAATAACAAATTAAATTCGTTATAACGAATTCAATGAATCTGTAATAGCAAATTAAATTCGTTATAACGAATTCAATGAATCTGTTATAACAAATTAAATTCGTTATAACGAATTTTAAAAATCTGTTATAACAAATTAAATTCGTTATAACGAATTCTAAAAATCGTTATAACGAATTCAAAAATATTTTTGATAGGTCCTAAATGTACGGAAGCCCATTTAGGACCTACCGAAAAATATTTCTGAATCCGATGTAACGAATTGTCGAATTTGTTATAAAATATTTAATTCGTTATAATGATTTCTTTGAATTTGTTATAATGAAATTAAACCGTTATAATTTTTTTTATTTCGTTATAACGAATTCAAAAATTTGTTAAAATGAATTAAACTCGTTTTAACAGATTATAAAACTTGTTATAACGAATTGAATTCGTTTAAACAAATTCCATAATTTGTTATAACGAATTAAATTCGTTCAAATGATTCGACAAATCGTTATACAGAATTCATATATATATTTCTACAGGCCCTGATTATTGAATTTGATTAAACGATTTTAATTTGTTATATCAATCTTTGGAATTTTTTTAAACGAATTTAATTTGTTATAACAAACTTTAGAAATTGTTTTAACGAATTTAATTTGTTATAACAAATTTTTGAATTTGTTATAACAAATTTTTGAATTCGTTGTAATGAACTTAATTCGTTATAACAAATTAAAGAATTCGTAATAATGAATTCAACAAATTTGTTTTAACAGATTAAAATCGCTATAAAAAATTCAAAGAAATTGTTATAATGAATTAAATTCGTTATAACAAATTCGACAATTCGTTATATCAACTTTCAAAAATATTTATATAGGTCTTAAATGGGCTTCCGTAAATACGTACTCTTCTTGTTTACTCGCAAACAAAGAATTCCAATTACAATTACAGTGATGATTAGAAATGCTGCTCCAGAAATACCAATAACAATGAATAAGAAACTGCCGTCAGCTGTAAGTAAATATCTTATAAAGTAATCTTTTAATGTAAAACAAAGTAACATAAAAATTCATTTTAAAAAAGCAAATTGCGTTACATTCTTTGGCTTTGTGCCATATACAGTGTTCATATTACGGCTTAAGGACAGATGATACAAACAAATTTTTTTCTTTGAAAAAGATTTTATATCATGTCACAAGTTTAGAAAAGTGGATGGTTCTTAGATTTTTTTTTCTCTTAAGAACTGGAATATGAAAAGGACTTGGAAAATATTAGTTACTGTATTATTTCAATGAAAAAACAAATATAGACAAATCACATTCAGTAAAGGTTTACAGTTGAGATTAAATAATTTCAGAATATGTTACTATAGTGCTAAAAGTGTAATATAAACTTAAGAAAAATATACAAAGTCAGGTTTATCTTATTAGGAAAAGCTAATTGGTAAAAATCAGCCTATGTGATATCGCTAATTTTTTGTCATTTTGTTCTTCCTCTTAAAAGAACTATATGCGGTATATTGCATATATTTGCCCCCACAAAAGTCAGATTTTGAAAACTTCCTGAAATGTGCTGAATTGAATAAATTGTATGAGAAATATAAATTAACAGAAAAAATTATAGTGTCAAAGCAGTGTATTCACAATTTTTGTTTTTATGACGTCACAAACTAGTCCGATTTTATATCCTTTTTCGAAAAGAGGACAAAATGGACAAAATTTCATCAATTTTAGCTTCAAAATTTATAGAGCGCAAGTTTGTTCAGGAACAATATTGACATATTTCATTGATATTATCATTCTACACCTTATATCAAAATATTGATCCTGAACACACATGCGCTCAGTGACTTTTACTCAAAATATCAACGAAACATGTACATTTTTCTGTAAAATTCATAAAAAACTGAAACTTACGTCATGTTTGTGACGTCATTAAGTACATATGGCGTCATTATTTATGAAAATTATCAGTGCTTTGAAGTCAGCATATACTCCCCTGTTTAAGAACTTAATTAAATATATCTCCATCAAAGTTTGATTTGGGGGGGGGGGGGCAAATATTGGTTAATACATTTTTTTCAAAGTGCGTTAATATGGTCGATATTAACGCACTGAAGAAATGTGTATGGATTGGTCAATATTCTTGCAAAATTTTTTTTCAAAGTGCGTTATCACAAACCAAGCTCTATGATAAACATGATGACTTTAACTTTTTAAACGTTAACTTCCCTTACTAATGCAGCAATATATATGTACCTTAATCACCTGCAAACGGAGTTTATATATCTCAGTTGATTCAGATACACAACTCCTTAATCTAACACCTCCTACAATTTTGGTCTAATTTCAATATAACTTGGCACACAAGTAGACTACACTAAGAAACATAATTCTGTGTATCGGTTTTTGACTTTAATGAACGGTGTTGCCGTGGTTACTAAAAATAGAAATTTCAGTTAAATACTCTTAAAATGCTACTTCAAATACAGTTTTAGTCTGATTATAATATAATGTAATATAATTTATTGCTCTTTTAAAGTTTCAATTCCTATCTGCTTATAAGTACTTTTCTCTTCCTTTGCTACAAGTACAAACCAGTAGAGCTTCAGTCTCGACAGAGACTTTTGTTTTAGAGTTTCATTGGGGTATGACATGAAGTCGGTACGTGATCAAATCTACTATAACGCCCTTCGGGCTTTACATAATTTGATCATGTGACCGACTTCATGTCATTCCCCAATGAATCTCTAAAAATGATATATTGTTTTTAATTAACAACCAAGCTCTATGATAAACGTGATGACTTTAACTTTAGTCAACTTCCCTTACTTCAGCTTCACTGGTAGTGACATGGAGAGTATTCTCCGTCATTTCTAACGCATGAACTGAAATAAAAACTTTCATGAAGAAAAATGAATAACACACCCACGCACCCCACGCACCCTCACACCCACACCCACACACACATACATATATATATAGAAAGCACAAAGAAATTCACTTTTACATGGATACCCACTTCCGCCCCAGCCCGGGGTTGAACTCTCGACCTTCGGAATCTGTCTCCTAGCAGTACAGGAACAGCGCGCTAGACCGCTCGGCTATCTAGGCAAGTCAAAAAACTTGCTTTCGATGCCGATGGAATTCTCGCGGCGCTGCCCTACACTACACGGTCATTGAGAATAGAAATGAGATACAGTTATTTGGACATATATATATATATATATATATATATATATATATATATATATATATATATATATATATATATATATATATATATATATATATTGTTACGTTTCACGAAGTGCAGTGTTTATAAACTACGTAAATATTTGTCAATGAATAGTTAACGAAAGAAATGAACACTAATTGATTTATATATATATATATATATATATATATATATATATATATATATATATATATATATATATATATATATTGTTACGTTTCACGAAGTGCAGTGTTTATAAACTACGTAAATATTTGTCAATGAATAGTTAACGAAAGAAATAAACACTAATTGATTTAATATGACTTTATTAACTTAACTTGTATAATTTAAAGACAAAGTGATGTATTTTGTATGTTTTATATGGGTACAACGTTATTATTTTAGTATGTATAATTTTGTTGGTCAAAACCCGCTAACTTATTGATTGTATTGATTGTGACGTAATATAGGTATCTGATTGTCTCTTACGTCATCATAACAACTTTTGTCTATATAAACCAGCTGTTTTGGGTTTAGACTTCAGTCGGCTGTGGGGAGCGACTCGCAGCACACAGCCTTCCCTGGTAAGTCACTTTGGGGAACGACTCCGTATACTTCGGTTATAAGACGGTACCAAGTCTATGTATACGAAACCATTAAAGGGAACCAAGTTTTTAGGAACGTCCTGCATTGACCATCGGTTGGTCACCTTTTTGTTAACCAAATAACGTTAACGTTGTACCAACCAAGTTACAGTGTACCATTCTGTGTGTTTATAAGTGAACCATTTGATCGTCCTAATAAATGTTATAAACTTTTAACAAGTGTTATTCCTAACAAACATTATTTAAAGTGACCAAAAATTGGTCGTTACGTCAACCAAAGAAGTGACCAAAAGTTGGTCATTACGTCAACCAAGGAAGTGACCAAAAGTTGGTCATTACGTCAACCAAATAAGTGACCAGAAGTTGGTCATTGACCATAACATAAACTGTGACCAACGTTACCATCAAATCTCGACCAGTGACCAGAAAACCAATAGCGGCCCACGAGTTTATTACACGATACCCTCGGTCTCGTTACAATATATATATATATATATATATATATATATATATATATATATATATATATATATATATAAAAAAATTAAAAAGAAAACACGAAGACAACAAAGTAAAGCATTAGCGCTTTCATTTAAAAATCTTCAGATGCTTTACAATCAAGTTTAAAAATTTAAAAAGAATTCTGTGCACATCCAGTTTCAAGGAAAAGAATTGTTCCGTAACTAAATGCAATGACCCGAGATGCGGTACCTGCGACTATATTTTGGAGGGAACCAGCTACAACTTCCGGGGCCGAAATTTCACTGTAAATGCTGACATGTCCTGTGAAACTAAGAACCTAATTTATGTCATAACATGCCCGGGTTGTAACGAATATTACATCGGAGAAACTAGCACTACTCTGAGAGCTCGGATAAGAGTCCACAAACAGCATATTAATAACCCGCAATACAGACAAATTAAGCTTAGTGAACATTTAGATATATGCGGGAAGAGACAATTTACCGTTTTCCCGTTCTATAAGATGTCCGGAAACCAAATCCAACGAAGAGAAAAAGAAAAACACTTTATAACTACTTTAAAACCAAAGCTAAATAGCATTGTTTGACTTTCCCGTAATAACTGCTGGGAGAATTACGTCATAGAGACTGTATTACGTTCCGCTAATTATGACGTCATAGAAGGCGTTACTATGTGACAGTTAAAAAACTTGATTGTAAGGCATCTGAAGATTTTTAAATGAAAGCGCTAATGCTTTACTTTGTTGTCTTCGTGTTTTCTTTTTAATTATTTTTACTATACAACTATACCGACCACTGTGAATTCATGGACTTCTGATATATATATATATATATATATATATATATATATATATATATATATATATATATATATATATATATATATATATATATATATATATATATATATATATATATATATATATATATATATATATATATATATATATATATATATATATATATATATATATATATATATATATATATATATATATATATATATATATATATATATATTATATCAGAAGTCCATGAATTCACAGTGGTCGGTATAGTTGTATAGTAAAAATAATTAAAAAGAAAACACGAAGACAACAAAGTAAAGCATTAGCGCTTTCATTTAAAAATCTTCAGATGCCTTACAATCAAGTTTTTTAACTGTCACATAGTAACGCCTTCTATGACGTCATAATTAGCGGAACGTAATACAGTCTCTATGACGTAATTCTCCCAGCAGTTATTACGGGAAAGTCAAACAATGCTATTTAGCTTTGGTTTTAAAGTAGTTATAAAGTGTTTTTCTTTTTCTCTTCGTTGGATTTGGTTTCCGGACATCTTATAGAACGGGAAAACGGTAAATTGTCTCTTCCCGCATATATCTAAATGTTCACTAAGCTTAATTTGTCTGTATTGCGGGTTATTAATATGCTGTTTGTGGACTCTTATCCGAGCTCTCAGAGTAGTGCTAGTTTCTCCGATGTAATATTCGTTACAACCCGGGCATGTTATGACATAAATTAGGTTCTTAGTTTCACAGGACATGTCAGCATTTACAGTGAAATTTCGGCCCCGGAAGTTGTAGCTGGTTCCCTCCAAAATATAGTCGCAGGTACCGCATCTCGGGTCATTGCATTTAGTTACGGAACAATTCTTTTCCTTGAAACTGGATGTGCACAGAATTACTAAAAATAGAAATTTCAGTTAAATACTCTTAAAATGCTACTTCAAATACAGTTTTAGTCTGATTATAATATAATGTAATATAATTTATTGCTCTTTTAAAGTTTCAATTCCTATCTGCTTATAAGTACTTTTCTCTTCCTTT